GCCAAGGGGGCAGGAGAGGCTCTGGAGAGCTCAGCCAAAGGGCCGCTTGGGCTCAGGTCTTCACACCTCTCTCCTGTCCTGTATCCTGCCAGCCAGCCTCAGTCCTCTCTTGAGCCCTGACCTCTCCCAGCCCTGGCTTTTCTTTCCGACTCTGCCCACCGTCCCAGGGTCTTCTCTAAGATGTGACCCCCTCTTGCCTCGGTGATTTCTGAGCCAAGTAAATAAACCCCAGTGTCCACAGAGGCAGGCAGGCAGGCTTGGCCCAGAAAGGAGGGAGCTGGCACAGCAGTTCCCTGGAGGGGCAGATGTGGAGGAAGGGAATGAGATAGAGGACGGTGAGGCAGGAGGGCCAGGAGCAGGGCAGTGCTCGAGAGCTCCTGGAGAGAGGCTGCCTCCTTCCCCCTGGATTCAGCCCCATGAAGGAACATGGCTGCTCCTCGTTCTTCTCTCCCCTCTGCCAACCTTTGAGGGCTGCTTGAGGAGTGGAGCTCCGTCCAGGCCCAGGCCCCACCCCTATCCCCCACCCCGATCCAGGTGGTTCCCAAGCATGGCTCTAAAGGCTCCAAGTCTGGGGAGAGGAGAGAAGGCACCACTGTCACCTTCCAGTCTGGGGAGAGGAGAGAAGGCACCACTGTCACCTTCTTAGGCAGGCCTCTCTTGGCCACCCTATCTAAGGAAGTCCCACCTTGTTATTCTCTATTGCTGTACCACGTTCATTTCCTTCTGAGGGCTTATCACAGCGTGTAACTAGACAGAAAGACTCATTCCTTTACTTGCTTACTTGCTCTGTTTGTCTCCTCCACTAGAGTGGAAGTTCCCTGAGGTCAGAGGTTGTGCCGATGTGTTCACTGCCTCCCTGTAGCCAGCGCCTGGCACACCACAAGGCCCAGCAAGTATCCAATGAATGGATGAATTGCTGAATGACTGGCTCAGTAAATGGGGCTCCCTGGTTGCCAACATTGACCTTTAGGGTTGACGCTCAACAGTTCCAGGGTTTCCCCAAGGAAGAGGAAGCAGGAAGTAACAGGAACAGCAAGGTCAGGAAAGCTGGGACTCCAAGGGAAAGCTCAGCGCCAGCCAGAGGCAGCACCTGCATCAGGCCTGTCTGGTCCATGCCATGACGCAGGGTGTGTGTGCACACGTGCACACAGAGGGGCACGGTGAGCATGAGTCCCAGGCAGGTCTTAGAGGCCTGGAGTTCTGTCTTGATTCTTCCTTTTAATAGCCCTTTGACCTTGGACAAACTACATATCTCCTCCTCAAAAGAAAAAGTGAAGAGGTTGGCCCAGATCAGTGGTTCTCAAACACGGCTTTGCACCAGAATTACCTGAAGCACACGTCAGAATCCAGATTCCCAAGCCCCACTCCTGTAGATTCTGACTGAGTTGGTCTGGAATGGGGCCAGAGAATCTTTATTTTTAGACATTTTCCAGGTGACTCTGAAGCAAATGGTCCAGGAAATGGCATTTGAGGACCACAAATGAGATGGTGTTGTATAAGCTGACATCTAGACTTCTATTAAAAAGCCACTCCTACACAGGTATACATCGCCCCAAAACATGTCCATACATTCCATACGCCCCACACAGGGCCATAAATGACACAGGTGCACTCTATACAGATGATGCACGTCTGTGCTGTATGTGTGCATACTCAGACACCCAACACAGAGCCACCCCATGGATCACAAATTGCCAAGGAACCACCACGTCAACGCACACAGCCTGGGACGCACACACAAATTCCTACCACACACCCAGTGTGCTGCTCACACACACATCACATGCTGACCCACACTAAACAGACACTATCCTGAATTTATTTTGCCTCTGGGAACTGGTCCAGGACAAAGGAGCTATGCTCTGCTGATGAAAACATCCCGCTGCCTCTGCCACCCCCACCCCTACCCTTGCCCCAGGCAGCATGCTGTCCACTCCCCCTTGTAGGGGGAGGGCAGCTACAGGGGAGGCAGAGGCTGAGGCCAGCGACTCAAGTCCAGCAACCCCCTCTTGTCCCCTTCCCTCCAGGAAAAGCCAAAGGGCCTCCACCCAGCCCCCAAGTCAGTGCTCACCCAGGCCACTTGCCTAGATTCCCAGGCCCTGGTCCTCAGGAGCCAAAAGGGCTAGGGAGGTGGCTAGGCCTGGGGACTCCTCCTAATACTCAGGCCTCTAAGGAAAGGGCTGTCTGGGGGCACCTTCCTGCAGCCCTAAGGCCTGGGGCCCCAGGGAAGGTTACCACAGAAACGGGGGAAAATATTACAAGGAAACACAATACCCGGCAGGGTCACCTGCTGACCAGGCTTCCTGCTGTGTTGCCCACCCCCCATCTGCCCTCATAGCGTCCTCCAGCCTCAGCCTAGGCCTCCTCACCAAGGCTCTCCTTCCTGCCCAGGGTTGGGGGAAGCAGGCTTAAGAGAAACTCTGGCCTTCTGTGGTTCCAAACAACATCAGGGATGGCCCAGCGCTGAGCCCCCCACTCCTAATCCCTACCAACCCCCCCCCAACAGGAAATCAAAGCTTCCTGCCCCAGAGGAAGTGCCCCATCTAGGGAACAAATCCAACACACACAAACGCACAGTCCAGTCCCTGGAGCCTCAGGAGGACAGATGCCCTCCCCCCAGCCCCAGGCCTCACTCTGGCCATGCTTCCAATAATACTCCACACCCCACTGAAGGCCCCAGCCCCCAGGCTGGCCAGGGAAGGCCATGGTGTGGGAGAAAGGCTGAGAGAATGGGTAGTGGCAGAGTCAGAAGTCCTGGTTCAGGCCCCACTCCACCTGCCATTCCCTGGCTGGGTGACCCTGGGCCTTGCATGATTAGCTCATCTTCTCTCAGTCCCCTGCCAACTTCAAAATTACCAGCTCTTAATGAAAAGCCAGAAGAAGAAGAGGAGGAGGTTGGGTTACACATGCTTCTGTCTTCCAAGTCCTTGGGCAAGCATGCCTACCGCTACAAGAAGGTCCCTGTCCCCATCCCCATCACACATGAGCTTCTTGCTTGCCCAAGGGTTTTATATCAGAACTGAGAAAGTTCCAACTCCCATGCCCAGAAGCCACCAAAGACTAAACGTGAGGTCCATTATCTCTAAGGGAAGTGGGGGGAATGTAATAGCACCCACACTGGACACTGATTCGTTTCTTTATAGTCAACCTCTCCTGCTCTGTGCTCTGGGAAGTGTGCTTGAAATTTTCTCCTCGTTTTATTGATGGGAAAACTGAGCTTGAGCATCAAAGTGAAGTGACCAGCTGAGATATGCAATTTTCTCTCTGTCCCTGGATCTCAGAAAAACACTTGGTGGCCAGAGACACCCACCCAATGGGCTTGAACTAAGGGACACAGAGGCCTCAGGAGAACACTGCCCCAGGACCACCAGGTGCAGGTACACAAAAGGCAGCTCTGAGCTTGATTCTGAGCCTAGTCCTGCTGGGCAATGAGGGACACCAGGAGACTAAATGCAGGGGACCAGTCCCAGTGGGTCCAGGACCTGAGTCCAGTCTGGGTTCACTGGGTATAACACAGTGGGACTGCTCTGTGCCTTAGTTTCCCTCAGAAGTGACTGTGGAGAAGAAGTAAATGACTAATAACTGAGGTAGGCAGAGGGAGCAGAGAACAGGGAGTGAGAATGAAATGCTACGCCGTCAGGGGCTGGAGAAGGGGCCTGACAGGTGTGAGAGGGTTGGTGTGAGGAAGGAAGAATGTCCAGCAACTTAAGCCACCTATGGGGTCCTTCTGGGGAGAAATGGGCCACCAAAGTGCCCCAATAGAGGGTGGGGATCTGAGTCACATTCTCCTTTCTTTTAGCCCAATGGCTGGACAGGGGTGTTGAGGAAGGTCCCCAAGGATCCAGGTGCAAGTCCAGGGGACAGGCTGGTGAGTCTAGATCCTGAGCTCCCAGCAGAGCTGCTAAGGACCAGTGCTCAATTCTCACCCTAGAAACTGGCAGGCAGAGGTGGGCCTCAAGCAGATGTTGATTAGGGGTGTAGGCTGGGAGGGTTAGGAGCCAGACAGCCAGTGTCCAGATGCAAGGGGAGGCTTTCGAGTGTGCAGGACAGCCAGCAGACACAGGAATGGGAATGGGGAGCAGTAATGGCTGGCCAGGTCAGACCCAATGAGCAGCCAGAGGGGAAGAAATGGGAGTGGGGGGCACGGGGTGGCCTGTAGGCCGGAGGGCTCTCTCCCAGCCCACAGGCATAGAAATTCTGCTCGTGGCAACCCAGCTGGGCTGCCTGGTTTGCCGCCTGCTCTCAGACTCCCCAACACCAACAGACCCATGCCTAGGGGGTGCACATCCTGTCCCCACCCCTCAGTGCACAGCCTGCGGTCCCCACCTTCCCGCGCCCCTGCCGGCAGTGCCCTCCACAGCTCACTTGGGCACAGGTGTCTCTTCACCCCATGGGTGAGCAAGGGTGGGTAGGCGATGCTCAGAGAAACCCTCCAGCCAGGGACCCTCCAGGGGGAACCGCTTTCGCCCGCCCAAGGATCTGAGTAGGGCCCTGCTCAGCTCCACGGGATGGGGGCGCTGATGTCCAGCCCCACAAGCCCGGCCCCAACTCAGTGGGTGCTGCCCTTTGCCCTCGCACTCCCAAACCTTCCGCCCCAGAGCACCGCCCCCTCTCCGGGCCACGGCGGCCGTCCTCCGTCCGGGTCCCCCCGGCTTGTCCTCCCCGGGAATGGGGGTGATGGAACGTCGGGCCCGCGCAGCGGCGACCCGGGCCTCCAACTCCCTCCCTCGGGCCTGTCGCTGCTCCCGGGCGGGCGGATGTGGACGCCCCGCGGGAGGCCTGAGCCCTCCGGCCCCGGAACCAGCCCCGGCGGAGAGCCTGCCAGAGCCCCGCTGAGCCGGGCGGGGCGGGCGCGGTCGGGGGTGCACGCCGCCCTGGGCCCGGGCCGGCCAGAGCCCGAGCCGGAGCCGGAGCCCGAGCCTGAGCCCGAGCCCGAGCCTGTGCGGCGGCGCTGGGTGCCGCGCGCAGGGCGGGGCGGGGGGCGGCCGCCCAGTACTCACCAGCGCTGGGGCTGTGCATCCAGGGGCCGGGGCCCTCAGAGCGGGGGGCTCATGGCGGGGCGGGGGGCTGGGGCGCCGGCCTCACATCCCCCCAGTCGCCGGAGGCTGCAGAGCGACTGTGAGACGGCGAGAGGAAGGGAGGGGGCCGGGAGGGGGAGGGCCCTGGCAGCCCGGCCGGCCGGGTAGGATGACAATGGAAGGAAATGCTTTATCTGAGTCTGAGAGCGGGCCAAGGGGGAGGGGAGGGAGGGGGCAGGCGCTCGCGGCCCTGGGACACACCACCCCGGCAGACTGCACCGCGCGGCGCACAGGCGGGCCGCAGACAGCGCGCGGCCGGATCGCGGCGGGGCGCGGCGCACCGCCCGGGAGGGAGGCAGCGCCGAACCCGGAACGCCGACTCGGCCCGAGCCCCTGCCGCCGCGCGGCGCTCCGACCCGCGCACAATTCCCGGAAACCCAGATACCTGAGCGCACGCACCCTCGCACACACTACGTACACGAGCGAGCATCCATGTTTACACAGGGCCAGAATCCTGGACACACACACACACACACTGCGGCTTCGGGGAAGGACCCGTGCCCATACCTACATACACGTACAGCCCGCAAGCGGACAGCCACACACAGGGACAGTTGGACACGCGTGGAGTCCCGTGTCCCACGCAAGAAATCCCAGACGGACACCTCCCCAACACACACACACTCACACACACACTCACAAGCTCGACTTGCCTCAGGAAAGTTCCAGGATCTGATTTGAATCACTGCCCAGCCCTCCCCCACTGGCACCCCCCCATGCTTGCTGAGGGGAACAGAAGGGTCCAGCCTGTTCCTATTAAAAGAAAAGGGGGGTGGGGGTGGTGCGGATTTTGAAAGTTTTCTTTTTTTAAAGAAATTTCTCAAGGGATTTCCTTCCCTCCTCTCCTCTTCCTCTCTTCCTCCGATTCCTCTGCCTCCACATGCCCCCCTCCTTTCCCCCTCCCGGTCCCTATGAGTCAAACTTTAGCAATGTGCCCAGTGTCCCCCAGTGCATTACGGCGGATCACAGAAATGTTCCAGTCTGTGAGTCGGAATGCAGCCGCCTCCAGCCCTCCCTCAGCTAATAAACTCAGCTCAGGGCCGGCTTTCGCAGGGGCCCTCCCTGCCTCTCCCCCCAGCCACCCTTTTAGCTGGAGAGAAGGTCAGATTCAGGGGTCAGGGGCTGAAGACCTTGCCATTGTGTCTCCTGGCCTAGCCTATCAGCCTGTCCGCCTCCAGCAATCTGCTGGGTCAGAGGCAGCTGCTCCTGGGAAGGGAAGAGTCCGCAACGGAGGGACACTGGGCTCTCCCGCAGTGTGAGGCGCCAGCAGGGAGCAGCTTCCCTCTAACCCCATCCTACCTTCTGCAATCCTAGGAACTCCAGAAGTCTATAGAAGGAGAGGCAGACCCAGAGGAGAAGTCATGTCAGATTGGAACCAAGAGTCCACAGTTGCCTGGGACGGCTTGGCCATGCTGAGGTGAACCTCTGGCCTTAGACTTGTTCCCTCAGGCACAGCTCAGGGCTTCTAGCTGCTCCCGGTCACAGCCTTGTACTTTCCCACTCCCTCACCTGGGCTCACCATGTTCCCTCCAAAGTGAATGTCCTCCCCAGTCCCTTTCTTCTCCTCTTGAAAGCTTTCCAATCCTCAAGACCCACAGCCTATACCACCTTCTCCAGGAGCTTCCATGATTCCCACAGCCAGAGGGATTCTTCCCTTCCCCTAAAGGACCCCACCCCAGGACTGTGTTGCTCTTTCTCTGTACATTGACCTTCACCCACCTAGTTTGCTTGTTCCAACTCTCTTCCTTCTTCCCCAGTAGCATTCAAGAGTGGGTATCCCAACGCAGCTACTGCCATAGTCATGGGGGCATATCTTCTAGTGTCTTGCATAGAATTCAGACTCTCGCTGTGAGTTATTTGTTGAATTGGGACAGATGTTCATGACCTTCAAGGACCATCCTCCAGCTGCACACCCCCAATACATTCTTTCACCTCCTAACTACCTATGCTGACTCTGCAAGACACATGCTTTTCCACCCAGGTATGTCATCCCTAGCCCTCACTTCGAAATCAGATCACCCTCCTTCCAGAGCCCTCCTTGGCACCCACAGCCTCCAGAAAAACCACTTGATTACTGCAGACCCCCAGCCTCGCCCCTGCTATCTCCCTCCCCTAGCCCCACAGTGCCCCCACATGCACACCTCCTAGCTCTCCTGTGGCTGTTGCTGTGCTGAAGTCGGGCCCTTGTCTGCTCCTTTCTACCCTGTGCATCATGCATGCCTTTGTTTACAAGTCTTCTTTCTGTTTAACCTGATCACTAAGTTCTGAGTGATCTGAACAAAGAATGTCTCCCTGCCTGTCTGTCCCCACAGTTCCCAGCATGTGGCTTTCCACACACACCAGGACTCATTGTGTCCACAACATAGAAAGACAACATGTACAACCTGCACTGGGGAAGCTGGACTGCGTCCTTCCTTCCCCTGCCAGATATACTTACCACTCCACCAGCCCCCACCCGATAGCAAAGTCCTAAGCCACTTTCTAAGTCACATGTCCTCTGCCACAATAAGTTAGACAGTGTCTGGGAACCCTTAGAGACATGAGACAGAAAGATGCAGGCTACCTCTCTATCCTCTAGCCTGGTTACCATGGGAAGCTTTTTTTAAAAAGGCTCTTGAGTCCAGGCCTCTCACGGCCTGCTCAGCTGAACACCTAGCAGAAGAGACCAACCCCAAAGGACCTGCCTTGGCTTCTTGATTCTTCCCTGGAGTCTCTGGCCAGCACAAAGCCTGAGGGCACCCCCCTCTGCTTCCTTTTGGGGCTCTGGGCCTACTTGACCTTCTTTTTCTCCTTCTCCTGTTCTTTCCTTAGTTAGCTACTGTTTACCAACTATTTACCTTGTAGCAGTCCTTACTATCCCTTTGACAAACATTAGATCATTTTATTCTTAACAATAATCTTTGTTATTCTCACAAGTATGACCCGTAAAGCTTAACCCTGACCAAAGTTGCACAACTAGTAAGTTACAGGACCATTCATTCATTCAACAAATATTATTGGGTACCTACTTTGTGCCAGGATTTAAAGCTCCTGGCACAAAGATGCCTCAGGGCTCTGAGACTCCTGTCCCAGCCTTCTAGATACAGGGGCTGCAGCCACAATTCATCTCTGTACCTGCACTTATTCTCACACACTCCCCACAAAGTGAACCAGAAAGTACTGCTTCCCCAAGGCCTCAGTGAGATCTCAGTGGACAGCAATTGCACTGGCTTGGGTTGAGCCTTGTGTTCCAGTTTCTGGATCTGAGATCAAATGCCAATTCCTGGAGTTTGGGATTTTCAGATGAATAGAGGAGGTTAGGTCCCCAACTCCAAATAAAGGGTTTCATAGAACCAGATATAAGAAGTGCAAGGAAAGAAGAAAGGGAGGAAGGAAGGGAGGGAGGGAGGAGGGGAAGGGAGGAAGGAAGGAAGGAAGGAAGAAGAGGAAGGAAGGAAGGAAGGAAGGAAGGAAGGAAAATTCAGGATTTATTGAACAGCCCCTGCATAACATGTGCTGTTCAGGGTCCTTTCACTTACGTCTCATTATTATCCCCATTGTTTTAGTGAGCAAACTAAAGCTCAGAATGACAAAATGATTTGCCCAAGGCCACAGAGCCAGTAAGTGACTGAATCCCAAGTGCGTCTGATTCAGAGCCTGTACAATTTCTCCTCTCAGGCCAAAACACCGGAGAAGCTATTGCCAGGGTCTCCTGCTCCAGAGTAGCCTTGTTGCTTGAGGTCCTACTTGATCTATGCATGTCACTCCAGATGCCAAGTTTCCTGCCTCTCTGACACCAGCCATGTGGCCTCTCCTTGTTTCCCACCTTTCTCTGTTGCACCGCACAGACAGGATCAGAGGAACTGTGTAAGTACTTTGGGGAGGGTTGGGGAGAGTGGCTTTGGGGTATAGGCAGGCAGCCCCCGTCTAGGATTTCATGGTCTGAGACAAGAGGTGCCACATCCTTCTGGGCCAGAATGGACTGGATAAATCAAGAGGAGGCTGCCGCATGGCCACAAGTCCTGCCAGCTCAGGTTGGGAGGGGAGATGACCGTGGGGATGGGGGTAGGTAGAGAGAACTAAGCGAGTCCTTTACCCATCCCCCACCTCCCTACAGACTCAGCAGGTGATGTGGTTTCCCCTGTGGTCTGTTGCTCTAGACACCTGCAGTTCTGAGTATATGTGTATGTGACTATGTGCCAACAGTGTGGTGGGGGGACACAAGGAGAAAGCACTGGCACAGGATAGGGAGGGGCAGGAAGCCAAAGACAGGGTCTCCTCAACCCCAAGACAAAGAAGGTACAAAGAGTGCAATAGATGGCAAAGGTCACCCACTCAACTACTCCAGGTCCCCAGCCAGCAGCATGGAGAGTGAGCTGGAAGAGCAGCATTGTGGGTACCAGGACCCTGAGCTGAGACTCAGGGAATGTGAGTTCTAGGCCCAGTTCTGCCATTGACTTCCTGGGTCACACCTTTCTAAGCCTCGGTTTCCTGCTCTGTAAATAGCAATATCTTGGCTACCAACCTCATGGGGCTGGTCTGAGATCAGATGAATAATATATGCAAAAGCTTGTGCCACTGTTGAGTTTTAGAATTATTGTCCTGATAGCATAAAAAATATTACAGTTGCTTACTCTAGCCCCTGAATATACAACATATACACATGTACACACACGCACATGCACATACGCCCCCAGAATGTGGTGATACAGAGCATTAAAGACAAAAGCAAAAACACAGCCTGGGCCTCATATTGATTACAATGTGTTGAGGAAACAAAACAAATGCATAAAATACTTGACAGCCTCTTACAAAGCCAACTATTTAAACCCTCTCACTGTCTGCATGACTGGCCAAGTCACAACCTCTCTGGGCCTCAGTTTTCTCTTCTATCAAATGAGGGGGCTAGTTGAGATCATCTCTACCTATTTTTCTGAGTCTAAAGCAGCTTTCTGATTTTCTTCTTCCAAGTGTAAATGAGCACATCAAAAAGAGGACAGACTTGAGCGGTCAGGGCAGGGCACGGCCTGAATGAAGCGGGCTAGCGTTGAACTGGGTTTGAGGAGCCCAGAAATGTGAAGCGGTGTGGCTGAGAGAGGCGGGGTGACATTCCAGGTAGGGAGAATGGCATGTGCAAGGGCGAGGCTAGGAGGCAGAGGGTGGCAAACAGATTAACCAGGCTCAGGAATGAGGTTAGCAGGATCAGAAGGAGCCTGGG